CAGGCCCAGTGCTAACGTGGACCAGCCCAGAGCCTCAGCCTAAAGGCCGAGCCCGACAGAACTAGCTGTGCAGCCCTGGACTGAGGCCATCCCTCTGCAAGGAATCTCCACAACTAGGCCACCAGGAGCCAGAGAACAGGCCTGGCTCGGTGGCTCACGCCTGTCATCCTAGTACTCTGGGAGGCCGAGGCAGGAGGATGGCTCAAGGTCAGGAGTTCGAGACCAGCCTGAGCAAGAGCAAGACCCCCGTCTCCACTAAAAATAGAAAGAAATGAATTGGACAACTAAAAAATATATATATAGAAAAAATTAGCTGGGCATGGTGGCACATGCCTGTAGTCCCAGCTACCAGGGAGGCTGAGGCAAGAGGATCGCTTGAGCCCAGGAGTTGGAGGTTGCTGTGAGCTAGGCTGACACCACAGCACTCCAGCCCGGGCAATAATAGAGTGAGAAGCTGCTACCTGGGCAACAGACTTCTGTCGTCAGAAAAAAGAACTGGTGTTAATCTTGCGCTTTAAAGTGTTTGGTCCAGGCTGATCTGTAGCACGACATCCCTGAGGCACAGCGAAGCGAGACCGCCGTCTGCTACTAAAAGAAATAGACAATTAGCCGCTGGCAACTAAAAATATAACTATAGAAAAAAAAATTAGCCAGGCATAGATTGTGCACGCTGTGAGTCCAGCTACTCGGGAGGCTGAGGCAGGAGGATCGCTTGAGCCGCAGAGTGTGAGGGTTGCTGTGACTAGGCTGACACGGGCGCCCCCACGGCACTCCCACTCTGCCTGGGCAACAGAGTGAGACTCTGTCTGGCTGGGCCTGGGGTTTCTTTATGGGAAATTTTTAAAATTGATTAATTCACGTCTGCTTTGTCGTAGGTCTATTCAGATTTTCTATGTCTTTTTCTTTTCTTTTTTTTTTTGTAGTTTTATCTTTATATATTTATTAAAGAATTTGATTTTAGCGTAAATATAAAATAAAGGGGTACAAAGATGATATAAAGAAGTCTACCATATGTATAAAGAACGGCCATCAGGTCCATCCCCCTCTATGAACATCTTTTTTATTTTTTTTTTTTTTTATAGTCAGTTTAAGAGAATAAGATACTTAAGTTAATATCTATATTTCAGCGCATAAAAGTGTCGATGCCAACTACATCCAATCACATTGGTGGCTGGGCATACGACGTTTGTCAATGGAGTCAATGTGCGAGTTCGCGCCAAAAACTCATAGTTCGAAGCCACTGTAAAAACCGCCAAAACCCTTTTCATAACATGACTTGTAATGCTTTGGCAGACAGGGCCTTAAGGAGGTGCATTTTAAGGGAAAAATGAGGCTTTTTTGAGTAGGGGTGGAGCGTGATTTCAGCAGATGAGTTCGCCCTTTTTTTTAAGCAAGGGAAAATTCGGCCTA